AAAAAGCTGGGAGAAAAGGGCCCCCGCCGCCCTTGAGGGGGGGTAGCAAACGCTTTATGGCCCCCCCCCCTTTTGGGGGGGGCAGGTGGGGACTTGGGGACTTGCTGTTGTTTTGGGGATTTTCCCGGGGTTAGGGGGCCCCCCCCCCCCCCCTCCGTCGGCCAACCGCTGCTGTAACCCGCCAGGTGCAACTGGTCAGGGGACAGCTGAACAGCGAGAGCTGCAGGTGGCTGCAGCAGTGGCAGCTGTCTCTCACATTCACCCTCCGACTAGCCACACGATGCGTTACTTTATGCTTCACAAGCCTCGCGGGTGTGTCACAAGCACGGTTGACGACACCGGGCGTGGCAGGCCTACAGTGTACGACGTCGCCAAGGCCGCAGGTGAATCTTGGGTTGCCAAGTGTAACAACTGCCAACAGCCTGTAGATAGTAGCCCGGAGCCGTCACCCACCTCTCTCCATCTCCCTCTCCCTCCCCTCCCCTCCTCTGCTATCTGCCGCACTGCGACATAGAGCGTACGGCACAGGTCGTGGTAGCCCGTTGGTCAGCTACACATGTAACACAGGTGATGGGTCCAGAAAAAATCGCGTCCGCTCATTGGGACAGGCTGTACAGTCCCGAGGGACGAAGGCTGACTTGGCTTCAGTATGGAAGTGTCCCCAAATGCACTGTGGACACTCATACTCAAGCCAATTCAGTAATTTTTTCCAGTACAGCAGTTCAGTCACCAACTTAACTTTTACCAACTTTTATGCTGTTATACCAACTTTTACGAGCAAGGGGGCCCGCGGCTTGGGAGAGTATTGTGTACAGCAAGTCAGAGTAGGCCCAGGAGAGGCACACAGGCATCACACAGCAGTACATCACACAGCGTACCGCCTCACATAAGCCTGGTAAACCAAGGTTTCCCACGCGCGTTTCACGCAGCGGAGCATAGTGACATGGTCACGACTTCGGTGCGGTAAAACAGGCATTTGAGTAGCTGTGTCCCGAAAGTGTCCCCGTTTGGGCTTCCAGTACTGGGAGGGTTTGCTGCTGCGCCACAACCTGTGCTCCCAACTTGGCACCACACCCTCACACCAGTCGTCCTCTCTTCCTCCCCTCTCTCCTCCCTTGCTACATGCCTCACATGGCTTCTAAATGGCACGCATTATTCACCGACACCGGCACGGCGCTGCAACCACGTTGCTTTGCTCACTTGGCAGGTGTTCCGAACTTCGGTCCTGTGGGCAGGCTTGACTTCGACACCTCGGGCGTACTCTTGTTTACCGATGACTACAAGCTCAAGAAGGCCATCTCGTCCCCAACGTAAGCACTAAACGACAGTCGGCATCTATCTGCACCTCCACAGATTGAAAATCATCTTGAAATCATCGACCCAAGGCAGCATCGCTGCTTGCTGTGGTCGCAAGCATCGAAGGGCTTTTTACCGTCGTCGGCTACTGTTCAGCCACAGCCACGAGCGTCAATTGACGGTAGGCGATGGCAAGGTTCGATTTCCGTACGCTGTTATGGAGGTTGATGAATCTACAGAGTAGCTTGCACACATTTTCAAGTCTGCTGCGGCACTATTTTTCAGCTCGCTAGATGAGCTTACCCATTTACGACGACTCCACCACCAAGCCTTTGGACTACTGGACTACAGTGTTGCAGAAGGCGACGTGCTAACCCGGCCCCGCCCCGGTGTGTGGATGGAATAACCAGCATGTTGTGGGAGTTACCGCGCGCTCGCCCAGCAGCAGCGAGCGGGGGTGGAGAAGGCCAGCCACTATGGCAGCAGCGGGAGATGCTTGATTTGAAGGTCACATCGGGATCGATCGCTGTGTGCCCCCTTTTACTTCAGTACGTCCATCTGCAAGCGTTCCTGTATTTTCTTTTTTGGTCCGTCTTCTAGACACATGACAATATAGTTTGTGACGCACAAGCTTAAGCTTGCCCGTACACGCTAAGAGTGTTCGAGCAATCAATTCGTATCTCCATGAACCGGTTGACGAGCTCACGCACGATTTTTTTTTCGGTGACGGCAAACTGAAGCTGCTGGTAACGCGTGCTTTCTCCTCTTGTATACGGTAGGTATAAAGGGAAGGCGGCCGTGGGCACGGTGCCTTCAATGGAGAAAGTCTATCACCTCCTCGTTGCAGGCACGATCACACCAGAGGATAAGGGGGTGAGTCTATTCTACCATGCAGGACGCTACAATACTTCATGTGGCATATGACTAAACAGTGGTAGATACTCCACAGGGCAGAATGGGCCAAACGATACCAGTTCTGAAATTGACAGTTCGTGGTTGGCGCATGGTGGGCTCGCGATAGGCCGTTCGGTTCAAACTCGTCTGCAACGTTCCTTTTGGATACTCTCGCTGTGTTTGAAGCTAGGAGTATTTGAGAGTGCAGCGGCGCGGTGCTCATGTGTACGATGACTGCATTTGCCGATGATGGTAACCAAGAAACTACCTGGTATACGCGAGTAGAGATTACCACACGAACGTCGTAGTTGGTGCTTCGTACGGTAGGGTGCTATAGTATGAGGCACTCCAGCCATCCAACCGTCCGACTCGTGCCATGTTCGTGTGTACATCCTACCATGCCTACCATGGGGGCATCCATGCAGATGGACCTGCTGCAAGAACCTCTACACTTCAGCCGCAAGCTGGACGGCCCAGGCGGTGAGGTTCGAATGCCGCGTATTCCTTGTTCCTATCTGAATGGTGACCACGAGCGTTGTAGAGTATCTCGTGGTATCTTTGAAACAACACCCATGATTCTATCACATGTCTGCGTGAGGGGTACACTCGCACTTTCGTTATGTAAGTGTAGGATAGGGTTAGCTTTGTGCCGCACGCACTTGCGACGTGTCACGCTTCTCTCAATGCTGCAGCTCTATTTTTTCCTACTTTATTCCAATTTGTAAACCATGACTGGCCTCCTCCGGGCCTGCTGTTCTAAATGGTCGTCAGGGAGCTGGACCAAACCAGCAGAGGCGCGCGTTTTGCTAACCAAGACCTTTAAAACAGGACAGCCGGTTCCGTGGAGATTCAAGCCGGGCACAGTAGCAACGATTACTTGGATAGAGGTGGTGAGTCCTCCACATGCTGCCGAAATGGAATACCGTCCGATTGATCGCGAGAACCATGGTCTACAATAGATACCTTCTGGACGCAGAGGTTGACCCTTGATCTTGATCTTGTTGTAGCAGTTAGTCCTTACCGCTCGTCTTTCGAGCCTATCACGGTACACTTTGCTGTGACAGTTGGATCGCGTCACCTTAGGAACCTTGACGCTAGACAACGGAGTTGACGACGGCTTGTTCGAGCCTCTTCCGTGGAGGACACCTCTTAAATATCTGTGGTTGCCCAGGCGTCCGAAGGCTGTATTACACGTGCGTGTGCTCTCATGAACAGCAGTCGATGTTTTGGACTCAGGATTTATTGACGCTTCAGTACACGCAGCCACGCCCGAGGCGAGCGGTAGATATTCGAGCTGCTCCTGGTTGAAATCGGTATTTTGCTAGAGGATACGTATCTCTAGGCTGTGTATTGTGGTCCGATGCAGCCGTTGCAAGGTTAGCGGTACTCATTTGTGGAGCAGTGCCCTGCTTGAGCACAAATCCAGTGGAGGTTTCTAGCATCGTAGCTAAACACCAACCGGTTGATAGTCGTGGTTGTGGTCGCGCAACCTTCAACTTCTTGTCGCGGGTGTACTGATCGGCGCTGCAAAATTTCTTCGCCCTGCGAAACCCCCTTGCCCTTGTGCCTCCACTCGTGAGCAGGTGCTGCGTGAGGGCAAGAACCGACAGATCAGACGGTTGTGCCGACGAAGCGAGTGAGTAGCTTGGAAACCTTGTTTTGATTTGTTTGTTCGTTTCGCCTCCAAAACAACGTGTCCATGGGAGGAAGACCATAGGCAGTATGTGGTTTCATCCTAGGCAACCAATGGTAGAATGACGCGTAAATAGTGTGTCCCTCCCGAAAATCTCAACAGCACTCTTGTTGTACAAGCCCTGCTGTCGTTAACCCCCGATGTTTTTCGTACTTCACCCCCTCGGTGAAACTACATGTGTTGAGTACCCCCGACGGTAGTTCGGGAGTATCTCTTGCGCGCGGTGGCAGGTCACCTTTCTAAGTCATTTGGGGGTAATGTGCCGTTCCACCGAAGCACGATCACTTTCAAGCTCGCTAGTCTTGCGAGACATATGACGTCCAGTTTTGATGTTGTTGCGCTACACAGGTTTGAGCTTACCCGACTACACCGGATATCCGTGGGCCCGATTGTGCTCGGCGATGTTGAGGAGGGTTCCTGCCGCGAGTTGACCAGACAAGAAGTCGAGGCGCTCTACAAGCGCTGCTTACCGGAAGACCCGCTGTGCCCCACCATCGACGCCGTACAAGATATCCTCCAGAGTCGCCTCTCTCAGACAGCACGCCGAATACGCACCACGGCTGAGGTTGGGGGGCACCGCTTCAAGGCAAGGGAGCATTCAAGTGCGATGGATGTCCCACAGAAGGACATGCCTGAGAGACCCACGGCAGAAGATGCAGAGCAAAGGCGGGCAGCGAAAGCAAGAGACGGGGAACGTGGCTGCCCATGCAGAACAACGCAAGGTCCGGGGAGACGAAGAGTGAAAGCGTTTGCTACCGAGGAAGACTTGGCGAGCATCATGAAACGCTTGATAGACTTTGCCCGGCGGGACTTGCACGAGACTCCAGCAGGCCCGGACGGGGAATCGGCAGGGCCAGATTACTGCCCTGGCGAGAAGGAATCATTGGCGCAGGCACGCGCGGTGCCCCCTAACGAGACCCACATGGTGTGCGGCTATCGCTCTTCTCAGATCGAGCGGCTTGGTCTCACGTATGGTACGATGTAATATTTAGCTGAACGTGCCTCTGCGACATATATAGCGGGGCGTTTGTTGTAGATACCCTTAATCGCGCTGTATTTCAAATGGTCCGCAAGTTCATTTGGAACGCGACTCACGAGGTTGTGGGACAGATGCTATTAAAGTTTCGTACTGGTATGTATCGCTCCATATTTTTGGGCGCGCCGGTCAAATAAACCTCTCCGGCGGTGCTCAGACAACCCCTCCTTGTTGTTTTCGTTCATGTTCCGAAAGACTTGAACAACTTTAATTCCAACGCCGCTCGGTTTAAAGTGGCGCGAGTTGTGCTGTCAGGCCGCCTGTGCCCAAAGCAAGGTTATGGTACCACATAAACAAGACTTTTATCAACTCAATAGGCACAGTGGCTCTTGCCCATCATTGCACCACTGCTTCAAAAATCCGAACCAGCATGCACAAGAAACATCAAGTCCCATGCATAGCGATTGTCCAAGCTTTCACCTTCACCCCCTTGAATTTCAAAGGTGCTTGTTCTGAAATGCATCACCGTTGAAACCCGGCACCTTGACGCCCCAACTTTTGACGTTTGGTGCGATTTTGTGTCGTAGATTGTACTTATCATCAACGAACTGACCAATCATGTTTTGGTGCAGGGTTCTTGGTGACAAATATTGATCCATGTGTAGCTCTCGGAAAATTGCAGTTCGACTTTTCCCCTCTTCGACTGGAATTCAAACCTCTAGGTCATGCTGTCTGCGGGTGCAGCAAACGCTCATCTATGGCAGGGTTTGAAATGAAAACCGAACGTTGGTTCTTTCGACGGATTTGGTCGGGGTTGGGCTGGTAAATGACTCGATGACAGAGGGAAGCATTTCATGGCGCCTAGAAGATAACAACGCCTTTAACATGGCGATCGCGAACGAACGTGCCTCCTTCATGGTGTGCATCAGTTCAGTTCCCCAATTCAAGACTAAATCCCCCGAAAAACGTAGCTGCACCGATTGTTTCGGAAGGATCACACACATTGCCTTCTGACATTTCTCGAAATAGCAAGACATGGCCAGGCAACCGAGAGTTGGCAGCAAGCTTGCCCTACTGTGATTTTTTTCGTTGTAATCGTTCTTCGAATGACTGCAGATATTAGGCCCAACACAATAAAATGCATCGCGCATTTCATCGTGAGAGGATGTGGCAGAGCGTGTACACCAACGCCCCGGCTCTCTCCGAATCCAGGAGACGATTGTGAGTTTTCGCCGCGCAATCTTTGACAACGCCCTGGTGGACGCAGATTTCCTTCTAGACTTATGGATCACCCCGGGGGCCGCCCTCAAAGGAATATCATTCCTTGGTTGCACTCGCTCGCTCGCCCTTCTGGGGTGTTTGAATCATTGCGTAATAACCACAATTCCATGTTACTCAGCTCGACGGGCGCAGAACGCACACACGACCGACATAATCGAGCAACACAAACGCTAGCCCACCAGAGAGCTACATATTACGTACATGTGTATGCTCTTTAGTCTAGGGCTCTGGGCAACGTATCGACTGAGAATCCTGCTCAAGCGACGATGTCCTGGCCTGATCCTTGTATATATAGATAGCATCGTGGCACCAGCCCTGTCAATAGATCGTTCATTTTATCTCATCGCCCAGCGATCCAGCAAACCGAGAACCTGCTGAGTTCCACATGTCCTGCACGATGCGTCGAGCCTGCCCCTCCGCATCGCTGCTCGAGCACAAGCATCTAATGGCCGCCACGCCGTCCCCGCCCGCCGCCACCACGTCACCACAATTCGACGCATCGATTCCCCCCACACCCAGAACTAAGACAACGTCGAGGCCTTCGACTTGTAGCTGTCGTCGAACGTCGTTGAGCATTCCCACCCCCTCGGGTGTCTTGCCTGGGTGCGACTGAGTGGCAAACATTGTCCCTACCTGGGGTAGACATGGAACAAACGGTTTCGTTCCGTTGATGACACAAACTTGTGCGGAGAAAACAGACCGTGCCTGCCCAAAACGTGCCTGCTCAAGCCTCCTCATGATGAGGACAAAAGGCCATCTGTTGAAAAACGTGAAGCAAACTGTTTACGTGAGCTTCGTACGGCGTATAGCTTTCGTTCGACGAACAGGCCCGTCGAGCGCACCTGAACATAGTCTGCACCCAATCTGGCAGCCTCCACCGCTGCTGCGACGGAGTGGACAGAGCACCCTACGATGCGAGGCCATTCTCCTTGGCCTCGTAGACCCACGAGACGGTCCATCATGCGCTCGGGAAGATGGACCCCATCCGCACCGCTAGCTCGAGCAGCGTCAGGCTCGCCGTTGACCACAAACAGCGCACGCCCTTCTATGGCCGTAGATATGCGAACGGCCAAATCGGCCTTGCTTTTGGCGCCTGATTTGTAGTCTCGAAGCTGCACCAGGGAGACACCACCTGCCACGGCCTTCTGGATGTTTATTACGAGAGATGACGTTTCGGAGAACGACGACGACGCACAGCCGTCTGGCGTGATCAATTCTAATACGGGGGGGGCGAGGGGTACAGCGTCATCGTGAGCCACTTCGTTGCCCAGCCCGTTGAGTGGCGCGCCACTTTTTCTCGTCGGTGACGCCGCCGCCGCGCCCGCCGCGCACGCAGTTGTGTATCCTCCGGGGTAGAGTGATCCAGTCATCGACAGCAGTAGAGCCTCACCAGCGCTGGCACCAACAAGCACAAGGAGGCACACAACGACTATGACGAACCCCAAGCTAGGATCCTGGGATTTCGCTGTCCACTGCTGCTGCTGTCGGCATCTAGGTTTCGTCCGTTGCGATAGGGAGGGTTGCCTGGAGAACATGTGTATACCCCGCTGCTGGTTTACTGGTGTACGTACAGCTTGCCGTTGGCGGTCTTGAATAGCGCCGGCAGTAGGCACCTGTTCTGCGTGCGCTCCGTGCTACACACAACGACGAGATAGTCTTTGGGAAGTGGTTGATGGGGAGAATTGAAGAGGGAGAGAAAGAGGTGCGACGCGCCACGGCGGGGGGAGGAAGGAGGAGGGTGGAACGTGATTGTCGCCATGACAGACATGGACCGATCGTTGACGGTTGATGTTGAGAACAATGTTGACGAGCTGACCAATAAACGATGAAGCTGCCAGTCCCGTGGATTCTGCGGAGCCCCTTGAAAGCTTGAGCGTTGGGGTTGTTGGTTGTTACATGTAAACCGGCTGATGTACACAAGTTGATGTACGCAAGAGGGCGGCGCTCAGCTACCGCACTAGCGGACAGGAAGAGATAGAGCAAGGAGCTTGGTGAGTGAAACGATTGTAGCTTGAACAACGTGTGGGCTGGACACTTACGTTGACCATGAACAGTCAGCAGTATGAACGTACATGTAGCTGCTAACCGATAGAAGCTGCTTCGCCCACGGCAGCGCGCAGGCCCAGACAGCAGCTTCTATCGGTGCACCCTGTGTACTGCTGTAGACCAAGAGATAACGTTGTGCACTGTGACAATATAGGTGTTTGCAGAAGAATTCTGGTGGGCCTTGCAGTAGCACGAAAGTAGTCTGGAAATTTGTCCGGGGAACAACCTGCGGGGAACAACCTGCGTGTGCGTGCCGCAGAGCAGTGGGGGGAGAGACCGAGAGGCGCACCGCAGTCGGAGACAAAGACAGATGCTGCTGTAGCGAAGGATGCCGACTCGTCCTTACGTAAGGCTTCGAGGCTACTGTTCAACCATCGGGGCTAGCCTATTCTTTCCCAGGCCCCGATCGGTATCTACAGGGGTAACGGCATGTTCGTATCAAGAGTGCAGCGACACTCCTGTAGTCTCCCATGCAGCACTGCTGCTGTCCCGACTGAAAAAATGGCATGCATACCTACGTGGGGTGGTTGTCGTGGTGCCGGTATGTCCAGACCTGCACACCGGCAATACTACGAAAGGCACGAACACCAACGTTTTTCAGAGTTTGACTCGTGGACTGAGATTTGCGCCGGTGTGCCGGTGCTACTACAGTTACTTTTGACATCGCGCATATTGGAAAGCAACTTCCACAGCAACCCAACCAGCGCGAAAAGTTGGCACGCTCACAGATTCATTGCAATCCAGCTATTTCCCAGCAGCGGGCAGTGGGCGATGCGTGTGGGTGCCACACGGCCAGTGTGCCACATGCAGTCCCGGGGTAACGCCAACACGACTTCAGCTCATCACGGGGGGTGCACAAGGCGCAGTGCAACTGACTTCGATTCAGCAAAAAACATTTCAACTTGCAATTGTTTTTCGCTGCACCCAATATCGAAGTCCCGCTTTTCCGGGCAGAGAAAGCCTCACCGTACTTTTTCCTGTTGACCAATCAGCGTCTTTGGCCCCCGGCACCCCCCCGAAATTTATTTTTTGCGGGGCCTCAATTTAGGTGCAATTTTTTTACGTTAAAACAGGCCCTCAAGAAGAGTGCATAGGACTTCGAACGCAGCGCACACGAAAAAGTTTTAACTCAATAGCTAATTTAAAATTTTGTGTGTTACTGTCTCTGACTGACCTGGTGGCGTTATTGCTGGGTTCGTACGGCTTCAGCAATCGCGTGAGGGCGCGAAACAATTAGAATTTCCCCACAACGGATCTCAACAACGGGAACGCCGTCACTGCTGTGGGAGAGGTTGCTACAGTATTGGGAAAGTCTTGTGGAAAGTTCAAGATAGCTGATCGTTCATCGTCAGAGCCCTCTCCGTTGTGATTGTGACGGGATTGGGCTCATAAAAGTTCATGCGTACGCCTGTGCGAATTAGCACTTTTAACGCTTTCGTGTTTTTTCTCGCTTCTTTGGGTGCTTTGGATTGTAAAGCCAACGGTACGAGCACTGCAGCACCATCGGGAGGCACAGCATAATTTAAACAAGCCACCTCACCATCCCACCACCGCGCAGGTGTTTGAGAGAGTGCTCTGAACTACAGCAGTACAGTATTGTAGGACATTTGGTACTCAGTCAACTGTGATAACGATGGAGTTGAAGAATGGTATGCATGTAAAGTATGTTACAACGAAGAGCAGGTCGACACGATGCAGCTTGTAACTGCATGGCCCACACGGAACATTACAACAGGTTGTGGAGCGCTAGTCGCTTCGATCGGATGGCAGCAAGCAGCAGCAGCAGCACAAGCAGCAGGAGCGATGAAGTGTGGCATCGGCGGCTGTGGGGCAGCGTCGTTGGTTCCAGTCGCGGACGCTCGAGCAACGCTCTGAGCTTTCTCGAGCGATCCGATAGATCGACAGATAGCCCCACCGTGGCAGCAGCGACAACTAACCCTTGGCCGGTCGGATTCGTGCCGCCCCAGGGCACAAAATCCAACCGTACAACGGGATGGTCGCAGTCGTACACCCCTTACTTGCCCCGCACCTCGGCTTTGGCGTTCTTGGAGAGAGCTCCAGGTAGGGCTAGGGGTAACAACATCGTTGGTGGAGCAGGGGCGGAAGATGGGCTGGGCACCCTAAGCGGGGGGATGGTGGCCGCTGGTGCTGATCGAGGGGGGTTCTTGCCAAGGCCATACGACACGGGAAGCGAGTGTTCTGACGCAGAGGAGGACAGCGACATCTGTCCCTCCATGCTCTACAGCTGCTTCCCGTGCTTCAACTGGTCCAGGTTTGTGTTGCATGCACCTTCATTGCTGCTGGAACGGTACGGGCGGGCAGCACCATGAGCTCTTGTTGCATTGGGTGCTATCGCGGGTTAGCTGCTGGGACGAACACACACGTGCACCTAGGTCAACGTCGCCGTCAACACCACGGAGGAACAGCACCCCAACAACACCCCCGCTGCTGTGCTCTCCCTCGATTTCGAATCCACCTTCCACCAACTAGTACCAGTCTACTGAGATGAGGATAAACATGTTTCTCTACAGGAAGGATCAGTTTACGACACATGCACTCGTGCACAGGCGAGCTGTGGTTTCATTGTCTTTAAACGGCTTAGAAGAATCTCTGCAGGTTCAATCACAGCTAGATCTCTTCCCCAAAGGATAGACATGGACTTCAAAAGGTTGTCTGCCGAGTACCATGCCCCCCCCATATTTTTCATCACCACATCCTCTGCCGAACCTGTTTTGTTGCGACTCACGCGGTCCGAGCAAGTGGCCTCGAAACGAACTGCGACTGTTCCCGTGTGTAGATGTGTATTTGCTTGCTGTGTACGGGTATAGCAGTAGTCGAAGTGCTTAGGTTTGACCCACCCACTCTATACTCTTGGAAAGAGGTGACTTTCCCCTGGGAGTTTTACGCCAGAAAATCACCCAAGAGAGAACTCTCCTCGAAGTAGACATGTAACCTGAAAGTAAATTATCCTGCCGTTGGTAGTTTGGCAGTAGCCTCCTCTGCAACCGATGGTGTCCTGTGGAGGCGTCTTGCATAGGTGTTGTCGAAGATGTTGCATGGCGCTACGAAACAGATATGTTGCGTAGAGGTGCGCTCGGCGCCCCGCTGAAGTACATTGGTACGCGTACACGGTGAGAATTCCATTCGCGAGAAGGGTTGGGGGGGAGTGCGCTACTGCAGCACCCCTTTCCAATAGAGGTGTTGGTGGGTGCATGGCGTACGGTCGAGTAGAGCGAAACGTGATGAGAGACATTGGCGGCACGAACCATACGTTTTGGCTGCACCTTGTTGTACGTATAGTACTCGCAGGATAGCGCGAATCGTGTCAACCGGCTCAACACCGACACTCACGGAACGGCCTCACGCCTTGGCCCTGTTGACCATTTGTTGTTTCCGTGTGTTCGACCCAGGCGTGGCAAGCGACGGCCGGCAGACTTGCTCGACGGCGGCTTGGCCAACAGCGTAAAGAGGGAGTCTCGGGCGCAGCTAAGCCTTAGCACTCCGCTGCTTACCGAGCAGCCCCCGTCGCCGACGAATTTCCCCACGGACGTTAAGGTGCGGCATGTACCGCGTACAGTAGTACGAAACAGCTCGCGTGTGGTTTCCTCTGAGTTATGGGTATGCGGAGGCCCATCTCTTCTGTGTTGCATGTTTCCGTGCCTTTCAACCACCCGTAGCCCCTCAGAGGAGGTGGCGCTGCGGCGTCTCCGCAGAGCTTCAGCGCAGCAGCGCCGACCTCTGCCACAGAGCAAAGTGATCCACCTTTGTATTGGTCCAAGTTCGCCGACGTCACACAGTTGTCCCCCCTCGCCGTCGGCCGAACTTTGACCCGAACGAGACCTATCCTCATGCCCATATTGCCTTTTTGTTTCGTCCTGTTCTGTCTGGTCCTGCGCCTTCTTCCCTCTTGCCTATCGTTTATCGAACGGCATGGGGCTGCCGGTGGTGCCTGTGGTACTGCTTCTGCACGTACTTGCCTAGTTGATCGAAGTGGAGGTGGAGTCGGCCAGAAATTTACCCTTGGGCGAAAGAGGTGACGAGACAAGTCTATCGTCCGATTTCAGCGTTGTTTGGGTTTCATGCGAGTCTTTCGACATGGTCTTCTACCAGCCAAATACCTTAGAGAGAGTGCGAGGCAATCGACTTTCGTTGAGAAATGGTTCGACTGTTGAACTTGGAAACGACCTTTCCTGCCTGCCGCATCGGCAACCCACGCCGTACATGGTGACCACGTATCTCACACGTACCCTCACGCTCCGTACCATCGTGTTCGAAACCCCTCTTCGTCTGGAATTTGTCGCTCCTTTTTCAGTAAACATGGCCGACTTGGCTGGAACGTACGCGATCCTCCGCATAACTCCCGTGCAAGAAGGGGTCGGGGAGCAGGTCAATCAGACTTCGTTAGCCACCAGACCCGTCAACCCAAGCTGGGTGAGCGAGTCATGGACGCGATTTGTTTGCCGTTCATAGTATTCAACGTTTTTGGTTGCATCGTACTTGAAACGTTGGTGAGTGTGTACCAAGATGCTGACCGCAGCTTGGTGACACACCGATAATAGTTGTAGTTGTTTGGCGTTGGTTTCGTGGTTGCCACCTCTGCGTGAAAGTCGTTTTCGGCCGACGTCAACGCTCCACCTCGTGAAACCGACTCTACCGCGGTTACAGAACAACGTGTAGTCCCAATCGAAGACGGGGAAAAAGAGTTCAAGTTCGTTTGGAGACGTTATCAATTATTATTAAGACATTAAGACAAGAGGAGTCCCGCCCATACCTTCAGACGCGATGAATTTTACCGTAACTTGAGGCGCTCACGCCCTCCAGATGTTGAAGACTCTCGAACTTGCGTCACCTTCTCTAGGAAGGTAGCATACCACGACATGACACGTGTCGGTCCCTTCGCCCACCCGTCTGTCTTCCGTTTGAACATGACGCCCTGCAATAACATCTGCGTGGCCTCCAAGGGAGGGCGTGAGACGTTCACGTTCTTCGTGACGGACGTTGCCGGCTCCAAGGCCTTCTTGTCGCTACAGCTTTTGTACCGACCGCTCCGACCGCCACCGGCCCCGCAACCGCTGCAGCCGCCGCTGCCATTGCGCCGGGGTGCTTCGGAGGCAAGCCTTGCATCTGTCTCCTCTGGGAGTCGCCATGGGGACGTGACGATCGCGGAGGGCTTCGTGGACTTGCTTGGGCTTTTCTCTCTTGTTGATGGCACTTACACGCCCGGAACGATGAAGGGAAACGCTAGACGAGTGGCCGTACCCATGAGAGAGCCCAAGGGGAAAAGGTGGGGGAAATGAGACGATGAACAATGAACGGTACAGTATAAACCCTAACCCGCAACGTACGAGTTGATTGGCGGGTAAGGCCGGTGTAACGCTTTTGTAATTTTTGTAACAATAGTGTTGCCGAACCACGCAAGGTCGGCCGGCCGTACTCGACAATGGGAATATCTCGCCACTATTTGATGATTTTCTGTCCACTCTTTTGTTGATGTTACATCGCTTGTGCGCCACCTGCATCAACGAAAATAGTTGCGACAAAGACAGTTTGCGCCTTGTCGTCTTGAGAGGATGTACATCATTCCTGATCTTCCCCTGTGCCTTGTCTGCCCTGCCCGCGGTATGGTACGGGGTGGTGTGTTGTGCGGTGGGGTGCAATGTGCAACGTGCTATGTGCAATGTCTTATTAGACGTACCAGGTGCTCGGTGATGCTGGGTCTGAGATGTCGCAGAGTGAACGAGACCATCGATACGCGAGAGGATAGGTGTGTCTCTCTCTCTTTGTGTATGTGTGAGCGTATGTGGGTTTCTTTGTTAAGCATCGGCCACACAGACCGGCTAACCAATGGAAATGCGTAAGGTAGTCTTGTCGCCCGACGGAAGACGCGAGCGAACGGGCTTTGTGTCTCATCTGTGCACAATTTCTACGCTTAGCGTCGACCCCGCTAACTGGCTCATCAATGACTTAGGTCATTCCTTATCGTCTAGCAATACGAAAAGACGGTTTGCGTGCATTGGCGTGCCTCTTTTGCGTGCCTCTTGAGACTTATCGTTAGTCACGTGAGGCGGTGGCGTTCCTCACCACGCGGGTACATTTTAGTGAATGCTTTGTTGCAACTTTGCGAGATGAGTAGCGGCTTTGTAAAGGCGACACTTCATTGCCGTTGCGTGGAGCTGTCAACGACGACGCAAAATCAAACCCGTGATGATGCCGGGACATCAACTTGATGTACTGTGAGATAGCAAGCACAAGGTCAATGTTGTCGTTGGGTGCAACGTAGAAATTTATGGTGCGGTTCCTACTAAAGGGTAAATTGATACGCCCTGCAAAAAGCAATCGAAACCAGAGGGCTTACGCTAAAGCTCCATGCTCGAACCTATTAAACACTGGGCCAACTGATGTGTCTGCCAGATTGTACGAGTATGAGCGGTGGACGCGTGTGGCCGGATGGAGCACAGCGGGCAAAAAGAGGGCCGGAAAATGTAAGCACGGCACTGCACGCGTGCGATTGTACGATGCGGTAGACCTTCAGTGGTGTGTCTATCGGTGGCCGTGACCCCCCGCTTAATGATGCTCTTCGTAAGCAGTGGTTTGTTCGGCAAGTCTGTGTTGTGTTTCGGAGGAGCTTTGAAGCCCACGAAACGATGCGTGCACCCTAGGCAATGGTCGATACAGGACCCGCATAGATAGACCATGCGATACTTGTGGAAGGCAGGCAGACTGGCCGGCTGCACAGGCGCCCTCCGGCGTCGGACACCATGTATGTATGTATGATACATCATGACCGATCACAACTATTTTACTCGACACAACAAACGGCGCAAGATCCACGGCGCTTCTCCTGGCAAGAGCCAAACATTTCGTCATACTCTGCGCCATGACGCGTTTGTCGCAGGGAGCACGCTGGACGGAAGCGTTTTGAGCGACAATTTTGCGGACGTGGCACCCGGTGTGGGAGAAGATACGGAGGTACGGCTCAATACTATACTCCCGAGTTGTGTCCCCCTACGTGTCGCTGGTGTATATGCATAGGTGTTTTTGTGGTAGAACGAAAGACTCGATTGCCAAGGCAGCACTGATATGAAGGTCGTTGGGTTGGGATCATCGAAAGACAGGAAGTATATCGACTTGGCTGGACAAGGGACATCGTTGACGATTGTGTATTGTCTGTACTCGTTTTGCTGCTAGCGTCTCTCTATATATACATATCTATTTATCTCCGTCTCACTCTCCCCATCCCTCCCCCCCTCCCTCCCAGAGAACATTAAATGGTGAAATAGGTGCTTTCTGCGCAGGTTGCCCAAACGAACTCCGTTTTTCTCATATGTCCATATCCTGTGAGAGGGGCTGTAGAGTCTGGTTCGTCTAGCGCGATTTTTGCCATTTTGTTTTGCGGTTGGTTCTTTATTATGTTCAAGCCGAGCCAAGGCAGCACTCCTATTTGAGACCGACACGTGTTTCGGCATCGCCCGCTTGGAAACCGCCGTCTCCCAATACCCCTTCCCCGACGTGCTTCCGGTGACTGGCACCAACGGCTGCGGTCGCTCTGTTCCCCGACAACCCGGTCTCGTGTACGCTCACGGACAACGTCGTTTCGGTCGACCAAGGTGGTCCTCCCGTGGTGCCCGTTCGGAGGATGGGAGTACTCTAGAGGGGAGGAGACGCCCGCATCCGCTGGGAACACCGGCACGAGCGAGGCGGGCGGTGGACGACGAGACGAATTTGCCCCAAGCTTGGGTGCCCAAGAGTGGGAAAATTTTGCCGTCGCCCAGAAGGGCGCGGTGTGGATGGAGGGCTATGTCCAGGGAGACCAAGCCGTGAGACGCAGGCTGTGGCGACGGGTTACAGCGGCGTAGGCTTGTCGAGGACGGACCAGGGTTGTGATAGTCGTAGGGGACGTCCTGTGGGTGGTTGGTGTATTCCGTGTCCAGGTTTGACAAGTCGCGGGCACGACCGTCCCATGGATTTTGGAGCACGTCTTGTGCCACACATCGTATTGTGTCCGTGTGAAGGCGGGACTTTGCGCATGGCCACCATGTCGTGGTTCTGGGTGCGATTTCGCCAGCACAAGCACATGTATGTGCTGCTGTTAGGCAGGGTTGTGTTTGTACGCTTGACTACGCCCTACGGCGGTAGCGTATTTTTGCACGCATGCGTCGAACGTACGACCAGTGTTATCTGGCCGACTCGAATCAACGTCGACACCATCCCACTCAATCAAGCGCTCGCTATTTATACCGCTGGGTTTCTTCGTCACCATCACGCTCGCCCATTGCCGTCTACGGAATTTACCTCCCGTATATGCATACGAATACGTGCTGGTGTTTGGTTCGGTTGTTTGTGTAGGCCGAGATCTATCTGCTCCGAAGGTCCCCGTGCATCATCTTACCGTCGTTCGGTGGGCGTCCGTACTATTTTTTTTGTGGCCCGACGTTTGCCTCGCAAGGTCGATCACGGTTCGCACTAAATACACTAGGCTCCTTGCACAGGCAACCCGAACAATTGTGTGTCAGCATGGATACACTGAAAAGTGTAGTACACTCTGCAGTAAATGCACTGCAAAGTGTAGTACACGGATCACCACGAAAAATGGGGGGACTGCTGTCGTCGCCATCATAAATAGGACGAAAAAAAAAGAAGGTCATCGAGTGCTGCTGCTGTTGACATGTGCATTTTAGTCTTCATACCTGAGGAGGCGAACCCGAATTAAACGCTGGGTCCTCAAGCCCCTCAACCTCACTAATTTCAACATGTTGCCGACGGACTGCTTGTTGTCACAGGATGTATGATGTATGATGTACTCGATCAAGGAGGAGCTTCATCATACACAACCCCGGCCCTTGCTCCTTCGGACAGAAGTAAGCTAACACAACACCTCCTCAATAGATAGGGAAATTATTTGCAATAAACACTGAATGGATGGCTAGAACGTTGTATCTGAGCCAAAGCTAGCTATCATCGGCAGGATTAATTATTAGTCTATTTCTTCACGGCAGATGGTAAGAAATTGCAGGATTTACCTGGATTTACATGGAGAATCTGCGATCGGGTCTCATCTGGTCTTGGGTCTACTGCTGCTGTTGTTTTTGTTTCAGATCTTCACACAAACGCCGTCATTTCAATTTATTTTCAATGCTTTAGTTTGCATGAACGCAGAATAGAACCAAAATACCTGCGACATCAGACTGACTGGTTGAATACCACCTAACTCCCCCCCATGTTTTGTGTGTGTGTGTGTGCGGTTTTTCACCCACCCGCACTTATTAGTCGGCTGTTGTTGTTGGTACATCCCTACACGCAGGAGTACATATTATATATATAGACTATCTATGTAGACCTTTTTATTGCCTGTTGAATCATCACGTCTGGCTGGGTCACCCAAGGATCTAAGAATAATAATGATTATTACTTCCCTTCTGCAGCGCGTTTCGGGAACACAACACAGAACAAAACTGGCAAACACCTGTTACCCACAGGGAGGGGAGATGTCGCTGTGTGCTGTTTGGGAAATCGTAGACACATAATAATAGCCCCTCGCTGACGCCATGGATTCATTGCTAATCTATCTTAGACTTTTTTCTGTAGATAGATGTAGAGATGGATTTATTGTGTCATAGTAAGAAGAAAAATAAGAAATCGTAGACATACAGGTACTTTTCTGACGCTATGAATCCATTGCTAATCTGTCTCAGACTCTTTTCTATGATGGAGATGGCTTCGTGGTGTCATATTAAGAAGAAAAAAAAAAAAAAAAACTGCGCCTTCGTCTGTCTCCGTCTTCATCTCCTCCTGACTGCTGTCTGTGCTGTGGAGCCCAGAAAACGAGAACGAAACAAACCAGACAACCAAACATGAAAAATAGAACAAAATGATGCCGACTTCGAATATATTATATATTTTTTTATTTTCCTTAATAAATATGACACAACGAATCCATCTCTATCATAGAAAAGAGTCAGAGACAGATTAGCATCTCTATCATAGAAAAGAGTCAGAGACAGATTAGCAATTAATTCATAGCGTCAGAGAAAGCTACCGGTATATGTCTACGATTTCCCAGACAGAATATTTGTTCCGGTGGCGTGCTGCCTCGATCGCTTCGGCCACAATTCACATGTAGAGTCACATAGCGTGCGGTTTTGTGTTGGAGTGTTTTGGGGAAGGGTGAAAACCTCCGCTTTGAGCGTGCGCGAAAATGAACCGCGGGTATGTTGCATAGACTATAAAACGCTGCCAACAGGGAACGCTCCGAGATATTTCTTGGCGTTGAGCGGCCGCCGGGGCGACCACGCGACCACATCCTCTGCCGGACTTCCTCTGAGTGATAACTCGCGTGTGCTGCATCACCGTGGGCTTCGTTCTTGGCGCATCCAGGTCCCGTGGAGCTTGATTCGGTTCGGTAGTACGGGTGATGGACTGGTGGGGAGCTGGGGGCTCTCACTAAACCTATGCAGCACAGAGCCGGTGACTTGCCTGCAGCCGCAGCACAGCAGTTGCTTGGAGCAAGGAGCAAGCCCGTGAGTGTGGTGGCGCGTGTACACTCTCTGCTGAAACAGCGGCTGGTAGGTCTTTCGGAACACTTCACGAACACTTGGGGTGTCTGTCACAAAGTTTCAAGCAGTTTGTCATGTAACAGCAGCATCCATGTCTATCTCGCTCGACAGGACGTGAGTCGTGTTTGTTGCGCGCCGCGTTGGTCGTGTTGGCGAATTGCGCGCCCATTTCTTCTTTTTTT